GCCGCGGGTTGACTTCTGTTTACAGAAAGACCTTTCCTATCTGCACTCCATGCACTCCACTATCTCATCCACTTGCTTTCCACCAGTTTATCGAGTTCATGCCGCGGTCTTCCGCTGGCTTGCGAACCCAAAGTCCATTAGGTCGGTTGGCTTATGATGGAAAGTTTTAAGAAGCCTGCCATCCCACATCGATTAGCAATTGCAGCCACGCATACCCTAAAGTAATCCCAATTTTTATGGCAGCCACGCCAGACAAACGTCACAATGTCAAGGGCATTCAGAAAAACCAAAGTCTAGATTATTGTCTGATTGTGGCAGCTGAGAAAATTATGTTCCTATGCCGCAGATTAGATTAATTCTGGGGGTGGTGTTCCAAGTAGACACGCTTTTCGCATGTATAAATCAAATTTACGACAGTTGTTTCAAATTTTAATGTAATCCTTAATTTTGAAGTAATTAGGAAGTTGCATGCCAATTTTCAATACAAACTTCGTAATCACAAAATAATTAATTACATTCTTGTATTTTATTGCTCTTTCACCCACTGGAGCTCGCCTTTATCGCGCCATTTGATTTATTGCACATTTATTTAGACAAATGATAACGTCAATCAATTTAATGGTTGCATTCACATGACCAGCGGTGTATTTATTGGACATCATCTAGCTTATCACAATCTTAAGACAAAACGAGGTATTAATTGGCGTGCACTCCCGAAATCGTTTATCGGTGGGAGATATCTCATTTTATATGGCCCCCAGTAAAATCTAATTACAATTTGTGCTGGAAAATCACTGAGTGCTCTAGTTATGCGGTGGGAATCTCGATACCGCAGTGATTTTGCAAAACCTAAGAATGAAGAACGATATACGAGCATTACTTATCGCTGCTGCTGAGCCAGCAAAATGATTTCAATTCTTTTTCTGTTGACAAGGCTAGAAATGATTTAATAAACAGCAGTTGCGACAAGCATATTCAATGCCACAGAATTTCCATTACAACTCTCAAGAGCGCAAAGAGCATATGAAAATATTTTCATTTGTCGAATTCGCGCGTTGAGTGCATTTTCAAATTGCACTTTCAAATTGCAGCTGTTTATTTTGCGCGATTTTTCACATGATTATCCATCCACCCGTTTCCCCCTGTTTTCCCCCTTTTCCCGCTTACAATTACAGTTTTGTTAACTTTTACACCCCGGGGCTCAAATTAGAGAACATTTCCCATTATCAGCTATCAAAGCATTAGACACTCAAATTTAATTGTCTGTGCTTTGCATGTGCAAATCTAATTGCACTTTAAATGGCTGCTCGACATTTGTGGCATGTGCGCTGAAAAACGCCTTTAGTTAGTTGCAAGGGATCGAGATCCAATAGTTCCTTCAGCTTTGGCATCTGACGGAAATTGCAATAACCCAATCAGTCTTGTGATCGTTTCTAAATTAAAGTAAATATCTCATGACTTTCGATACGCCGCCAATTCATTTGAAATCCAAATGGGATACCCTGCTTGCTCGGAGCGTTGTTTAAAAATCATTAAAGAATGGAATATTATTTTTAATCAAGAGAGCCCATAAATCAGCGATCTTTCCATCCAAACGATTGCGTCACAGGGCGACCGAGGATTATGCCAGAGAAACATCAGCTGATCAGCACGTTGCCCCGACAAAAAGTATATTAACACGATTATATAGTAGAATACAGTATTCGTACTCGGTGTACCTATATTTAGTACTCTACTTTCGCAGCTGTCTTTTTGCACGCCGACTTTGCGAAAATGCCAGGAAACAAGCATAAATACGCGAAAGATTAAAGACGAAGCATAAATCAACACACTTTTTGCGGACATTTTATTAACCCATTAATGTGCATATGGCTTAATAAACACGCTATTTTGATCACAGATCACCACAGTGGCGAGTTATGCTGATGGATCAGTGGTTTTAAGAGCCGAAATGGATCGTAAAAGATTAAGCAAAAAAGAGCCGCACGCACTCAATTTAGTCGATATTTTGAGGTGCAGATGTCAAAAGCTTTCAGGAGGAGAAAGCGCCAATATTTGACCATTTGCTGGCGGGTTAATGAAACATTTATGTGCGCCTGCAGAAGCGCTGAGTATCTTATACGTTTATATGCATGTAGTTGAAATCATAAATATCAGTGCTATTTTAAGCCCAGTCAAGTGCAAGGTGCCGTGTTCCCAGTTGAGGCAGTTGAGGCTGCTGCCAAACATGTGTAGATTGACCCTCTGTCAGGCCAGCACATCATGTCTTTTATGGCCCATCAGTGCAGTCTTTAATGTGCTTGTTTTCTTTTTGCTCTTTTAAATGCCCCTGAGGCATTCTGTGGCCATTCAAGTTGGTGGGTTGGTCAAGTTGAAGTTCATTTAAATTGCGCTCATTTGGCGGCAGCACACGGCGTATACTTGATGCTTAATACTTATCTATGTCACCCGTTCTTTCGCACTTTTCCAGTCTGCTGCTCTGTGTCGTTTAGCTGGGCCAACGAATGGGGCTATCCGGACTTGGACAATAATCAGGATGAGCGTAAGTAAAGGCAATCGAGTTTATTTGCTAAAATTAGTTAATCAACGCCACGGCGAATGGGTCACTCATTGTCAAGTGTTTCGCATACCAGAGCGATCCAAATCTGCTACGACTATATCCATGTCCATGTCCATGTACATCTGTGTGCACGCTTTCGGCTCGAGCTAGCCTAAATTGTGCCAAATTGTTGTGTATGCAAATTGAACATGAATAATGATAAATTCCGCCAGCTACTTGGCTGTTTCTGCGAATGCCTCAATGCTGCCTGTAGATTTTAATTGACAAAAAAGCATTCAATTGCGGAAATTTTGATTTATGAAAGTTTTGCTTGCGCTGAAACTGCAAGAATGGAAATCAATATGTGGAAGAAGTTAATATTAGAGTGTCAATTGGCAAACCAGCGACCGATTGCATAAACTTTGATTGATGGGCATTAGATTGCAGATATATATTTGGAGTGTGCGACATTTTCAATAATGAACATCGATTTACCCTTTTCCCGGAATATTGCAAATAAAGTTGGGCGAAATAATTGATGGATGTTTCTATATACCACAGCCTTTCCGAAATGGGGCGGTCTTTGCGACAGTGGAAAGAAGCAAAGCCCCATAAACTTGCACGTGAAAGGGGCATTGAAGGGAGAGTTCGATGCCCTGAAGTTCGAGAACTACGACGAGCATCAGAAGAATCTGCGAATGGTCAACAATGGACACTCAAGTGAGTTGTAAATGGTACAGACATCACAAAGTTTCCCCTTCAATCGAAACTTCTTTGCAATTACAGTTCAACTATCTGGCTTTGATCACGAACTGACCCTGAGTGGTGGCGCCCTGCTGCAAGACTTCGTGGTGGAGCAGATCCACATGCACTGGTGGTCGGAGCACACCATCAACGACATCCGGTATCCGCTGGAAGTGCACATCGTGCACCGGAATACCATTTACCCGAATATGACAATGGCGGCCAACTTTAAAGATGGCATTGTGGTCATGGGCGTGCTGTACCATGTGTCCAACACGGCCAACGAGGCCATCGGCAGCATCATCAAGAGTTTGGGAGCCGTGAAGAGCTACGATAGCATGAACAAGCCCGTCAAGGTGGCGGATTCCCTGGCAGTGGATGACCTGGTGCCCAGTGTGGAGAGCTACTTCACCTACGCCGGCTCCCTGACCACGCCCACCTGCGCCGAGGCCGTCACATGGATCGTGCTGACCGAAACCTTCCCCGTGACCCTGGACCAGGTCAATGAGTTCAAGGAGATCGAGTACGATCAGGGCAAGCAGCTGCACAACAACTACAGGGAGCTGCAGAGCGAAAACAACCGAGCTGTGGTCCTCGTCGAGCAGCCTGAGCACAGATCGGGGGCAGCAGGACTCACTGCATCCGTGTCCCTGGGCCTGGTGACCCTCATCCTGGCGGGCCAGAAGCTACTGCTGTAGACATGAGATGGACAACTCGAAGGGAGCAGCCAATGACATACTCGTACCAAAGAATCAGAATCGTTTAATGCAACGAATTTGTTTACCAACTATTTTAACAATCTAACAAAAACGAACCGGAGACACAGGAGAGCAACGTCAGACCAGACAATTTATACTCATTAATTGTAATGCAGAACAGAACAAGAATTCAGCTAGTCAGTTTGTGTAAAGTTCATTAAGTGCAAAGTACGCAGATAATAAATGAAACATTTTACAAGCATTCGTCTCCTGCTGATTTATGGTTAAACGGGGCGTATGCGCAACCTGAAAGTGGCCGCCTATTTCCGCTTAAAGTTCGCACTAACCACTGGCCAACTTAGTTTTGTGGCCGAGTGCCAAAAATAGACGATGAACCATTCTCTGCATATTTTGCCACAAGACCGCCGGTTGGAATGGGCACTTTTATGGCTCGTGGTCAGTGTGATTCCTTTAAGGGGACTCATGACCCTCATAAACGGGAATAGAGCGTTTATCACCGCATTGTATTCAGAAATCACTGATAACTGCAAAGCGCTGACTGACCAATTGCGCTGCCTGATAACGCTAATTGATATTGGATGGACTCTAAATAAATCAACTACACTAACAGCGGGCCATGCAATTTGATTTCGCTTATTGCCGGCCACACTTCATCATGATTGTTCGTTGCGAAATGACACTGCGATTGGAGCGAGTGTCCAGTGAATAGGTTTATTGATGGGACGGCTAATTTTACACATAACTGTATCTTATCTGCTGCAGATACAACCGCTGCGGAGAGTTCTAAGCAATCTAAAGTCCAATAAGCCGATTGATAACTTAAAATACAATTAGGGCTTACTGTTAAGCTGGGTTGCCTATTCAGTTAGTAACAAATCAAAGCTCAAGTTCCTTGAGTAAACATTAAAACACGTGCTTTAAAGGTTTTTCGATAAATTTCTGAATTTATTTAATAATTTAAATGTTGAAAACAATTTTGTTTAATTTATAAACTCTTTGAGACCCGAAGCCTTGCATCTTTTAAGCGAATATGATTTCAAATGGAACTCGATGTTCAAAAAATATTAGTATAATTTTAGGGATATGTAGAAAACATGGGTAAAATGCATATAAAGTATGTAAAAGATTTAATAACAATACTTTTGAGGGTAAAAAATATGTTCCGTATAAAAACGGTGGATTGCCAGTTTAAGGCACGAAAAGTTCCCCTGTTGCGTTTTCTGAGTTAACACTTTTTATATTTTTGTATATATTTAACAGTGTACCTACATTTATGAAACTTTTTCACCTGATGAACAGGAATAAAACTACTACAACATTTATAAACTACATTTTGCAATGCTCCTTAATTGCCAACATGGTCGCCGCCATTTTGGGCCACCTGACGACTTCCTTGTGGTAAAGGCACATCCTTGGATAGAAGTGCGTACTCCACGTCCATGTGTCTTATGAATGGAGATGCCAGCATCTTGGTGGCCAGCTCGGCATCCTTGTCATCAAAAGCTTTGAGTAGGTTTTGTAGTGTGTTCACCTCCTGGGGATCACAACGGTTTCCCCATTTCTTGAAGGTCTTCTTGGCATCCACCAAATCCTCCAGTGTTAGTTGTACCAGAATCAAAGCCACCACCAAACGCCCAACTTGGCCATAGGACTTTGTTTGCAGATTCAGGCTGATTTCCTTTTTGAGTGCCTTCGTGGCCTCTTCGTATTTCTTGAGTCTGACCAGTATCCTGGAAACCTTCGATGCGAATTCCGATGCCTGGTGCGCGGAGTCCCCAATCAAGACGACTGCCAGGGCGCGTTTGTAGAGTCCCAATGCCAGGTCAGGATGCTTGGATTCCGTCATCTTGGCGGCTTTGTCCAGAGCAGCCGCTGCTGCTTCCGGCGAACCATGCTGCTGGTAGAGACAGCAGGCCCTATTGGCATAGTCCTCCACTTCGGACAGCTTGTCCGTTTCTTTGGCAAGCAGGATAATCTGCTCGTAGGATTTGGCTGCATGGAACCACGACTTGTTGTTTTCGTAACAGTCGATGGCCTTCAAAAAACAATCCTTGCTCTTATCGAAACTTTTGGCAATTCGATATGCGGTTGCTGCCTTGAAATACATACCAGCTTTGGCATACTCATTCGCGGCACTGGCCGTTTGTCCTACCAAGGTCTCAGCCTCTTCTAACTTTTTGGCATCAAGAGTGCTCATATTCGTAAGCCACAACCGTTGCGTGTTGAAAAAATCAATTCAAGTGCCTTACATTCAAATTAGTGTGCCCAAAGGCGCAAGTGCAGAGAAAACCCAGCTGGCCGCTCCTTCCTTATGCGGGTATGACACCGCGTTATGGTACTACTAAGTGCTTCGCTTCTGTTACTTAAAGTATTTTATTGTATTTAAATATAATAGTTCATATTGTGTGGATTTTAAAGCTTTTGTTTGGAGTTTATGGAGTGCAAGATATCCCTTTTAGGCAAAGCATGCAACTTAAGCTTGATTTTGTATATATATGGTAGAAAATATTTAAAGAATGTGATCGATTTGGTTTTAAATCGAACTTTTATCGCATTCATACAACTCCTAGTTCGATTAAGTTTGTCAACCTGGCTAAAGAAAGAAAGTCATCGATATACAGACATGTGCTTTGTCATTTATTAAGAGATCTTTAAGTGAGAAGGTCAGAAAGTAAACCAGTTAAGTTTACCCCTATATTGCAACTAACTTCAATAAATTTTAACATAAAGCTTACCAACAGGGTGCCTAATCTTGAAAAGAAAACTGTGTTTTATATCAGATTCTTCGAATTCCTTTCCGAAGCAGGTAAGACTCTCTATATGCATAGTCTCTGTTCTTATTAGTCTAAATACACATTTTCCTACCGACTTTGCAGTGAATCCCATATTACTGCAAGATGAAAGTGTGGAGAGATGTAGGTCTTACCTATATCCACTATTCCAACATCGCAGCCCGCGTGGTGCGAGAGGCCCTGCGAGTGGAGCTCCGTGCAGATGCCGCCAAGCGAAACATTAGCCATGTGAAGTTCACTCCCTGGGTGAACGGAAGGCCTGTGCCACGCAAGAAGAAGGAGCCCACATCCGAGTCCTAGGCGCCTTTGTGGCCCATTTGGATGATTAGTTCACCATGTTCCATCCTTTATATCCGCTGTCGCGATTCTATAATAATAATTTAAATGAATTTGAATCACTAATGGACGGGCTTTTGTTTTTGAAAACTTCACAGTTCATTCTAAAGTACAACACAGTTCTGTATTTAAATACCATTTAAATAATAATATACACAACATTTAGCATACATTCTACACACGCGTATCAAATACATAGATTGTGACTGCTTGTTAAATTAGACTAAGACACTAAGTAGGAGAATCTAAGAATGAGAAAGTCAGTTCTGGAGCACGAGCCACGGTAGCAGGAGCATGCACAATGACCAGGATATGGCCTTCGCCCCACTCTTCAGATTGGTATAACTATCCACGATGTGAATCTTCCAGCCCATATTGCCATGGGTAAAGGAGTTGTAGTACACAGTGTCCGGCCACGTGATATTCGGAGTAATTTCCAAGAGGGCCGGTTCCCCATCCACACACTCGGTGATCAGCGATCGATTGAACTTCTTGAAGGTGGGGAAGTTATCATCCAGGCGACGATCACTGTTTGGAGGATATCTGGACAGGCACAGGGGACCAGCAGCCGTGGGCTTGGGCCTGCCTCTCCTGGTGAACTCCACACCGGCCAATACACGAATCTCACTTTGCTTCGCATCCGACAGTCGGTCATAGCCGCCCTGGGGATCATCAGTGATAACCAACGGATGATAGTGCTCCGGGGAGTGGGGATTATTGCCACCCCTGACCTTAAAAGTGTAGGTCAGCCCGCGCTTTAGGTAAAGTTCTGGAATTATGTAGCCATTGATGTACCAGGCCAAGCCACTGGACACGTGACCTGTCAGTCCCTGATAGCCACGAAGTCCTCCAGAGGGTCCCAGGTAGGCATTGAAGGTGCGTACAGTTCTGTAAAACAGATAGTATTAACTTTTCATCTACGCAGGAAAATGGAATCCTTACGCGTCTTTTATCCTGGTTCGCTCCCACGATGGGAGATTAGTCGTCTCCGCTCGACTTGTAAACGCAAAGCAATCATTAACCGGTTCTGTGGTGTTAAAATCTATTACTATATCGCTCTTGGGATAGTAAGTGTGAAAGGCGGGCTCGTTGTTCGAATCCAAGGGGCCAAATGCCCAGATCACGTAGTTGCTGCGGTCTAGGAAGATCTCCTTATCGCCATCATCGGCTGCAATGTGTAAGAGCTATATGAGTGTGCACAAATCATGCGACTCATGATTATAAACTCACATGACTTGAGGGTCCGCCTGAAACTGATCGTATTAATGCCATCCTTGCGACTATAAGTGTTCAACTGGAAGCTATCCAATCCACCCACCACATCGTCTCGGCAAACTCCTTTGTTCTGGCCCAAAACCTGAACGCACGGTGCCAACGAGGTGATATTGTAGTCCACGGTATAGCCTCTGATGTCGTCGATGTAGGCCACCACGACATCGGAGCCAATCATCTGGCTGGATACGTCGGATCCGGAAATGCCGAAGGACATGTAATCGTTGGCGCCCACCTGACCGGATAGTTGAAACGTGATCTGTGGCCCGAAAACCTCCCAGGACACCTGCATATCCTTGTGTAGCTGCCGGCAATTGGGCAGCGAGAATTCGAAAGGTGTAATTTTCACTAGGGAAGGTGGAACATTCAGTTGATCGTTGAACAGAACATGACCATAGTTCTCATTGTCGGCCACATCGTATACACTGATCCAATCGATGTCAAAAATAGTCTTGTCCCCAGGCAGTTCCAGTTCAATGGTCTCCTTGTTGTACTTTCTTATAGGATCAAGGCTGAATGATCATTATTTAAATTGGTTAGTAATTAACTTCTTCAAATCCCTAGAAACACTTACTAGCCTAGCTCATCTGGCAGCTTGCTTCCACGACTAGACGGCTGTGGCCCGACTCCTGTCCAGAAAAATGTCCTCTTGCCGAGCCCATCGTAGGTGAAGTCCTTGATGCGAATGGTCTTCGAGTCCAAGACCTCGATAGTGCTGCTGCTCACATTGTGACTGCGCTTGGAGAAAGTACCGGCCAATTGGCTCATCGGTGGTTCAAACTCTTCGGGTATATAAACGTCCCCAAAGTTGTTTTGACTGTTCAGATCGTAGACCGCCAGCCATTTGATTTCAGTTATCTTCTTTCGATCCGGCAGTGTCAGCGTGAAATCCTTGTTGTGATAGCGATCCAGGATGTTGGTTCTACGGTTAGCATTTTATAATACATTTTATATACAATTTAAAAGCGATAAGAGAGTTTTCTTCTTGGTAATCAGACATATTTGCAAGGTAAATATTTGTTCATGGATATATGAAAAGTAATTTCTTATAGATAGTTTTAAAAATGGTTCATTTATCATATATTTTTACACTTACTTGCCATACTCATCGGGCACAATGAATCCCTGCGGTCCCGGCCGATTACTGGCGCCCGACCAGAAGAACGTATCCGCCCCGTTGCCGTCGTAGTTGAAGCCCACAATCAGAAAGGTGTACTCATTCACGGCGAACACATCGCCGGACACTTGGTGATGGTAGGAGTTCAGTTTGCCCAGATATTTTCCCCGGTACGGACCGTCCTCCTCTTCAAGCTGAGCCACTATTTAAATAAGTTATCATTAAGAAAAATTGAAGCCGGCAAAAAACAAAAACATTGAAAACAAATCGCAAACGAAAGACTGTGACAACAAACTTGTTTTTCTGCATTTGCGCTCTGACTCAGTGATGCCAATTTAGGCCTAAAGAAGAATACAAACCAAATAATATATAAAAGCAAAAATTTTGAGATTTTTGCCAAAATGCCTAAAGAAGGGTATAAACAAAAATTTTTGCGGTTTCTGGCTTACCAGCCAGATTTTAAAAATGGGTTAACAAAGGACCAAAGTGATAAAAACAAAGGCTTTTGCAAATACTGCAAGTGCAGCATATGCAAAAATGTATCAAATTCGTGCTCATAAGGAGACCAAAAAGCACGTGCAAAATACTAAGTGCTGTGCTCAAGTATAAAATAACCTTTTTGCCTGTTTAGTCCGATGAAGTGTGTCGCCATGATAAAATCGCCTATAAAATGCCCGAAACGTATTTGAAACGCAATGGCACAATGGCAACGTATGAATCAAACGTTGAGGACGAAACATTTAAAATATTAAATTAAAAGTTAACTAAATAAATAATAATCATAAAAAAAATCTGTCCTGTTTTTTCATCCTATTTTTACCGTTTTTTGCTCAATCTGTCCTATTTTTCCATAAAAATTTTGGCATCCCTGCTCTGACTAATAAGCCAGCAATTCGGTTTCTGATTTACTGCCACTGGGCCAGGTGGCGCCCCCTGGCGGGAGCTCTGAGAGACCAATCCAAGACTAGACCAGTTTCTCTAGTTTTACAAGAAAGTGAATTTGTTTTCGCCCCGTCTGGAGCGTAACGCCAGTACAAATTTCTCTTTCTTTTGCAGTTTGCCTCGGTTTTCTTGTTATTGTTAAGGTTGCAATTTAGTTTAGTTAACTCACAGGCGGCGGGGAAAAGCAGGAAAATCGTTGAAATAACCAGTAATAAATGGTGCTGCAATCGCAGACAAAGAACTCTGCTGCTCAATGTCATTTTATTCGTTTCCTTTGTTATCCCGGTCTGGTTTTTAACACTCCCACTTCCTAAGCCACGTTTAAAATGTTTTAAATTTTTGAATCGACTTTATCTTGTACGCTTATTCACGCTGCAGCATTTTGCATACTGGGTTTTTTACCGGCCCGCTGCGTCACACAAGTTGGTCAGATTTCCAAATATATATGTATGTTCAATATTTTTAATTGAGAGCCAGGTAAATTATTAATAATTTTTCTTGCTTTTGCTTAAGGTCGTTTCGTCACTTGCATGCGTTTTCGCTGCTATTGTTGTTGTGTTCACTTGGCCAAAACAGGTTTAGGCAGCAGTTCCGGCGTTTTTCTACATATATTTTTTACTTTTACCAAAGCCCTCGCTTGAAGCCCAAATCAACAGCGAACCGCACTGTCCAAGCGATCTGAGTGAACTGAGACTTCGAGCCGCCGTTATTTCGGTTTGGGTTTCTTTCGGAGTTCCGACGTCTTGGTCTTGGCAGTGTCAAGTGAGCACTGCTCTCCGAATCTTTCTCTCTTGAGCGGTGCGCATGCGTGATTGGCATTGAAATGGACAAGAGTGGCCGTAACGGTACTTGCTGCATACGGAATACGCGAGGTGCGCTCCAGAGGTTCCAAAATAGTATCACAATGTATATAAGCTATATATTTTTATAAAATTCTTCGGAATAATTACTAGTATTGTGACATAACAATGTTACCGCATAAAACTATATATTGCCATATCGATGTTACTGACCCCTTCGGGTAGAGTATTTTTATATACATTTTCTTTATCAGGGTTCTTATCGGGTTAAATATACCCACTTACTGCCTGGGCGTATAAGATCTTGAAATAAAACACACTTTCATTATTTCTCACAATTTTCTTGCTTGCAAAACTAAACTTTATTCCTTAAGTTTGCTTTTATTAGATCTTTATTTTGAATAGCAATTCAATGTTTTTAAAACTAATCAATTGCAATTTGTCGTCTGTTTGCGTTTTTATTTAAACAGCAATTGCAACAGTTTCTCTACTCTGACTGCGTTGGATTTTAGTTCATTTAATGAATAATGTTTTCGTTTTAAGTTGTCTCTTTTTTGTGGTTGCGATTTTATTTACAAAAAGGCATGTCTAGATATATGAATAAAGATGTGCGTTGCAAACAAAATTGAATAAAAGGGTCTTCGATCAAAAACATGAAATTGGCAACCAAAACATTTGCATCGAAAGTCTGGAAAATTTGTATACGATTTTCACTCAGGTCTAGACCAATTTTCACTGAATTCTTAGTTTCTAAACAATTTAGGCTCTCTTCTATATCTGCTGTCCGCTGCACTCTTCGCACTCGTATAACTAGTTTATTGAAAATACAATATTAATAATATATCATTATTCTCATAAGAAGCACAATTTATGTTGTTTTAGTTTTTATTTCATCATTTTATGCGTTTACATTTCAGTGTTTTGAACTCGCTGCCGTACATTTTTCAGAATTTTGTCCTTAAACATTTTCAGCGCATGGTTTATTTTATAATTTACTTTTACTTTCATTTATGGTTTGTGTTTATATATTTTTTGTTTGTTTTT